TGGTATAGAGAGTCGGTAAGACTGATAGCCGGGAATGAAAATTTGTAAAATCCCGACAATTCTCGATGTATTGAACGCCATTGGAAACAAATTAACCACTTAACCAAGAGGGCTGATTCATAAGTTGTGAGCCTCATATTTAATAGTTTGACTTAACGCATTATTTTACACCGTGATCCCCTTCACTATCTATTCACTTTTACCAGCGATGTTTAAGTGCCACAATTCCACTATTAAAGAAGTCCTTTTCTTGACCGTTCAAAATATTTCTTCTCTACATGTATAACGTCTTCATCTGACTGAAAGTGGGTACCGGAAATAGCCTTTTTTTTTAAATAAAAGGAAGTTTGATGGAGCGAGATCAGGCGAGTAAGGCGGGTGCTCAATCAGTTCAAAGCCAAAATCAGTAATGAAAGCCATGACAATGACAGACTTGTTAACAGGGGAATTGTCCTAATAAAAAAACATACCTTTATTGAGTTTTCCGCGGCGCTTGAGTTTACTATTTTCTCTTCGCTGCTTATGAAGTGATGCATAATATATGTCAATGATTGTTTGACCCTTTTTCAGATAATCTATCATTAGAATACTACGAGCATCCTAGAAAACCACGACAATGAACTTTCAATCTGTTGGATGTATTGTTGCCTTCTTTGTTTATACTGTTGTTTGGCCTCTGGGGTGACATAATTTACCTAAATTTCATTCATATCACAAACCTCTGCAGATTGATAGAAGGTTCAGATTAGCACGCGACAAAGTCCGCCTGGTGTGTTTCTGATCAACTGACAGAAGTCTTGATACCTAACGGGCTGACATCTTTCTCATTGCAAGATCGTCCGTAAGAATGGAATTTACTCTTCTTTCCAATGAAATCCCAGCTGTACTGGCTATATATTGGTCTGTAACTCGCCTGTCAGTCTTAACAATATCTTGGACATTATTGCCCATTTCTGGGGTTGCAACAGTGACCGGCCTTCCAGGACGGGTGTCATGCCCAAGGCTCTGTCACGCTTAGATCCCGCCACCCACCTTTTTACTGTAGCATAGAAAGGTTCATAATTTCGTTGTGTAGCTACTATATCAGTAATGTCTAGACCTTTCTTATGCAAATATTGAATCACTGTTCTTCAGCGATTTTGTCTATTTCGCAAAAGTCAAGTGGTGATTTTATTCAGTTTGAGTTATCTCCCTTCATGTAATATACATAATTAATGTAATTAACGATGATTGACTAATTTGTAAAGGAAACTGGTGTTTTCTATATATGTCATCATACTTTATAATGAATAAATATATACGTATTTTGGGTTATGAGATAGTTTTGGTGCTTTGTTAATCTGCAAATTAATGACACCCAGAATGTTACACCAAATTTTATGTAAAGGCTAATTGAAACCGGTACTGTGGGCTGGAAGTTCTGAAGACACACAGAGTGTGCAGCGTAACAATAAGGTAAGCATTGGCTGCATACTGTTACCAGAAGCTCCTGTATAAGGGGTTGCCTGAATAAGGCTACTCGGGTAACAGTGTACGTGTGGTTGGTGCCAGTAAGTTGACGAGTCAGGTACGCCAGAAGCTTCTGGATAAGGAGTCGCCTGCAAAGGCTGCTCTGGTACGCCTGACTGCTGATACAAAAACTGACACCTTATCTTAGTATTTTGTAACAGCAGGACACTGACAGGCGACGTCGGAGCTGTACGGTGGTCAGCTCGGCGACGTGCCTGTAGTAGTGACAGTGTCATGGTGCTGGCAGGCTGTTGAGTGTTGTGGTGTGTTATAGTCTTGTGGTGTGATCTACGTCCAGGCGACGGTGTAGGGAGGACAAGGGTACTGTCCATTCTATTGTAGTGTATATTGATATATTGTTTGTGTTATTTTGTTCAACTGTTCGGCCAGGTAGCCGAGGTATCCCGATCGCCTCTGGAGCAGGTAGCTCCGTATAAATTGAGAGCCCGGCGTGCACGCACGCTACCATAAGGGTGCACGTTACAGTCACTTGCACTTTAGAGTGCTACCTCTTCGACATAAACTACCACGATGGAGGGATACGTGTTTACAGGGAATACAGGGGATGTTTAATGTATTGTTCAGTTTGAAATAGGCCACCGTAATTGATCAATATCATGTATGTCAATACATTTCTGGAATTGTCGCATCCTAACACTGGTTTGCGTTTGATGGTTTGTTTGTAATGTACATTAAAGTTCAAATTTTCGAACATAAGCAATAGATTCGGTCATCAAAGTGAGTTTGAGCTAAGAAGGATTTACAAATCGGTACCAGCCTACATTCTGTAACATGATTTCGGACTCGAAAGTTTGTAACCGGACATGATTGAAATCCATCTGAAAGAAAACCCTAATGCTAATTCTAAATCATGACTCCTATTAATTCTGTACAGTTTAAGGATATATGAAGGACTCGTTGAACCGGACGGAAGGCATGATTCACTATAAATTCCAAAGTACATGTTTAGTACATGTATCACATACATTTGCGTTTTAATGTACTTTATTATCAATGGTTGTGTACACTTTCCTCAATGGTCACCATTCTGTAACGGCAAAGTTCACGTCATGATTCGATCAACAATTTCAACCTTTTTTCCGATGCTAAGATTCTATTTGGTTTAAATAAAAAATATCTGACTGCAGTAAATGGGTAACCGGTACAAGTTTTTTTTTCAACATATATCACTCCCTTCTCAAAAAATAATTATACAAAACCTAACTATCTACACAAAATGACTTAAAACAAATTGAACTATGCATTGATTGAATGAATTTTAATGGGAGATTAGGTGGGTAGAGATGGTATGTAAAAGGAGGGGGCAAATGAGAAAGTCCCCTTCAGTTTCAGATTTGAAGAACAGTATGGACATTTTAAAGATAATACAAACCTATGTTCGCATAGGTCAACAACTCCACAGTATAACGATCTCCTGTCTCAAATATAACCTGTATTTTCTAGTACAATGAGGTCAATTCCACATATGTGTAGGATAAACCTGTCCTATATGTTCATTACCCGTGACTTGGGTATTCCAGAGTCATAACTCTGTTTGTTCCGGGTATGTCTATGTATATCAAAATGCCTTTAACCGGTATTGGCTTGGCCAGAAGAGAACTCCGATAAAGCAGAGGTGAGTACCATGGTAAGAGCGGACTGTATACGAAATATAAACTTCTCCGTGAAATACAGTATAAGTTCGAATTATACTTAAATCTGATTGGAACCGAGGCATCCGATAATTCGAAATTTGAAAGTCCATAGAATAAAAAGATATCTTTTCTTTTTCAATAATTAGTCACTTCACAAATAAGCATAGGGAATATTTGTAGTAATACATCATTCATAGTTTTATTGATAGGCATTGAGACACGTCCTCAATATTCAAGGTATTACACTCACTATCGTTTGTTCAGAGAGCGACAGTGACTCCTGAAGTATCGATTCAAACACTACTTATTTGGGTTTTTTTTTTAAATCAATATGTACATGTCGATTTAAGCCTTACCTGAACTGATCTGAGTTATTAGGACCATGTTTATTATATATAATCTTATTTCTGAATTCTAACAAAAAGAGTACATAAATAATTTATTTCATAAGTCCATTATTTAATGATATGTAGTACCTGGTTAATTAATAATTTATAAAAATAAAACAGAGATATCCTTGATTTATGTAGGGATATCTTTATTGATTTGGCGATATACATTGTATATTTACACATGTAAGTAAAATATAGATATCGTTCAACGGAACAAGATACCTATAAATGAAATCAGGATATACGGAAATCTTTTTGATTTAAGGTCAAATGTATATCCTCTGCATGTTAAGTATATTATCAGCAAGGAAACAAATATTCAGTCTGATTCTGTATATATATTTCGTATCAACTTGCGATTATCTTACTAGATGATTTTTTGGAAAAAGTTGTTCCTTTTCTTTTTTTTTTCATATGTATATCTATATCATGCAATACTAATGCTATTCTCGTCAGATTTAGTGTACACTATAATAAAAGGACCTTTGTATGTATACGCCTCTGTGGCCTAAATATACACTTCCTTGATCAGTAGAAGACATTCTGGGTCATGTTGGCATATGGAATAGAGGACAAAAAGCGTTTTTATCATTAAGTACATGTGCTCTTATTGTTGTCGTTTCTAAAAAAACAAAAAAAAAACACAAAAAAAAAAAAAAAAAAAAACAAAATAAAATAAAAAAAAAAAAAAAAAAAAAAAAAAAAAACAAAAACAGATAAACAAAATCCTTTCGACTTATTACCACAGGTTCTGCTTGTATTATTTTGTGTCAAATGACTATGTCAGCGTACCTCGTTATATCTGAAAGATATGTTAGCAACAAATTTAATGTCAATGATATTAAAGTCTGTGTTTTAGTATTGCACAGGTACAACATGAAGCTGAGCGCATAGAATCAATATATGTAATGTTATCGATATTGATATCAAATGAATGTGGAAATTTAATTTTCTGATGAAACAGATGGCAGTCTGTTTAAAACTGAAATCAATGTTTAATTATTCTGTGACGGTTGGTGAACGGTGAAATACAACTTTTAAGTGGAATGCGTGGCAGGTCCAACCTTTTACGTCGAACATCAACACAGAAATATAAATAACACGCATACTGAAGAATACAGACGAACAGATAAAGATACAGACAGACAGACACACAGACAGACGGACACAGACAGACAAATATGCTGTATGTTTCAAAATCACAAGGTAGATCAATATCGTTTATCATGATAATGCATATCCTTTTCAATTTTGTGGTTGTTTTCCCTAATTTCTTCCTTGCTTATGCATTTTACTTTTCTTAGTACTTTTTATCTATCAAAATATATTTGTTATAAAATACATTTCAATGTAAATTTGTTTTCATTATCTTCTTCCTATCATGTACTTCTCTCGTTTCCTAATAATAGTATTTGTTGTTTCAGACTGCCTGTTTGGTAGAAAGATGTCTTCCAATCCATCATACAGCCATTACGACATTCCTTGCGATTTGTCGAACGCCAAATACCAGAACAGCGAGCGGTCGGCGAGTATCTCCACAACTGATTCACGTACCAGCATTCTTCCCTGTAGTGCTGGTTGTGACTTTCGCCCTCTTACCGCAAAGAAATCTTCCGATCGGTATTCTTGCATCTTAATCATCGTTGCCATTATTCTTTCACTCTTCTGCGTCGTCCTTAGCGCATGCGTTGCAGTTTTGTTCTTCAATCTGGAACAAGTTCGAGCACAACTTCAGAAAGAAACAAACAATTTGTTTGACAGGAAGATCTGTCTGCTTTGCGACGAACTGACCTTGTCCCCATTTGACGAAGAAAATGAGGCTACAAGAGAACTGGACGTGAAGTCAGATTTTAACGGTGATAGGGTGTGCTGCGCGAACGATGCCAGGCAGTCTAAGATCATGTTTGACTTGGTAAGACTTATAGATATTAATCAAACATAGACCTTCTAAAGAAGCAGTCATACTGATGAAAGTTAAGTTTAGAGAAATCAGACCAATATGATTACGTTCTACACTATTCTGTCTCATTCGATAACCACGAACAATTTAATTGTCATGTATGTGTAACGACATTGTATATTATATTATTGTACAATTAACCTAAGTATACGTTTCACACGAAATAATCTCTCTGATTACCCATTGATATTTCGTTTTAGCTTTTCAAGAAAAAGAACAAGATTACATGCATTGAAGGTAAGGCAAATTTTATGCAGCATGTACATCACGATGATGTACACAAACACTGATAATGCTCCCCAATAAATGTTTTTTTCTAGTAACTAAATTTATTCTCTTGCGCTAAAACAATGAAATAAAGGTAATTTGTTAGCTGGTTTACACGTTCTTGGTCCTGTCATTTTGCTTTCAAACCTCACTGATCTATCTTACAGAGACCAACGCCGCCCAAACATCTTGTAATCGGACATTACCTAACACAGGCTTTTTGACCGGAAGATCATCCGCACATCTTCATATAGGCATACAAAACACAGGTCCAAACAACGGTAAGTCAAGTTGAACTATTAGTTCTGTAAGGGTCAGTACTTACACATGTTAACATAACTTACGTTAACATTTAAACAAAACTTATATCAGATGTACCTTTGTATAAGTATATATGAAAGTATACCAGACGAGTAGAAAAGACGTCATGAGAGCAGAAAGCCTGCATCCCCAAAAACGGAAAAATCTGGGTAAATTCCAACTGTCAAGTTTGAACAGCATTCATCATCTGTTGACTAATTTAAGTTGCTTTGGTGTCGTTTTAAAATTCAGTCTAGAATTTGTTTGTTTTGGTGTTCATGCTCCATTTAGAAAATTGTCAACACTCCACTGGCTTCATTTCTTGAGGAATTTGAATCCTAGTTGAAACAATTAGCAATATTTTATAGCGTTGAAGAATCATTTTACATCCGTATTTTGTAAATTGTTTGTTCATACTCTATTTCATTTTATAAGAAAAGTTTGACACAAATACAAATATATATTGATGTAAATTCCGTAGGGGAAAACATCTCTAGTAATAGTATATATCATTCCTGTGGTTTATAAAACAGCAGAACAATGCTAAAACATTACTCACTTAAAACAGTGTACATATTGTATCTGTCTGTTTAAGAAAGGAAACCATACAGAAAATAAAACAGTATAATTTGAATTTTATCATCTTATAGGTATCGGGGACGAACCTGTTCGGAACTGGCGATCCGACGATCCTACATCTCACATGGAGGGAATCAGTTTGACAAAGGACCGACTTGTTATCAACACAACAGGACTGTATGTCGTGTACAGCCAGATTTATTTCTCTAAGTACATCAGTGCGAACGCCCCCAAATCCAGTAGTGTGTTGTACCACTATGTGTACCGATACAACGTCATCTACCCTAACTCAGGCAATCAGCTTCTCATGAAGAGTGTCAGAACATTGAACCTTGACCCCGTGGCGTCACACAGTGACCACACGAGTTACACGTCAGCGACACTTCGTCTGACGGTTGGTGACGAAATTTACGTCAAAGTGTCTAACCTATCTATGGTGTCGCGAGCAGAAAAGGCAAGTTTCCTAGGCGTAGTACAGATAGCGTAAGTAATCTGGTGACGTCACAAGCGTTTCACGCAGACGATCTGTGTTTGAATCATGGTTGCAGCGATGCATGTAGATTTAGCAGCTCGACCAAGTGTGTATTCGGAACTTCTCAGATATAGTAACCAGAAGTTACCAGAAGAGGCTCTAGTGAATGACATAAATAAGTGTAGATGTATGCATACAAATTTTGAAAGGCAGCTTCGTATATTACGTATTTCCTCATGTACAGATAAACATTACGAAATCTTTAACTGTGATATGTACAATATATATGGGAGGATGACTGTGAGTGTGTGTATGTACAGTATGTAATAAAATAATGTTTTATACACCTATGCCTTTAAATGAGTGTGTCTATTGGAACTGAGCAAAACTCAAAGCAATCTTAAATAAAAAACAAGAAAATAATAATGTGATTTGCTATATGAACTTATAAACTTAGTGTGTTTGTTTCTCTCTCTCTCTCTCTCTCTCTCTCTCTCTCTCTCTCTCTCTCTCTCTCTCTCTCTCTCTCTCTCTCTCTCTGTCTCTCTCTCTGTCTGTCTGTCTGTCTGTCGGTGGTATAGAGGGTCGGTAAGACTGATAGCGAAAGACTTTTTGATCGACAAAAAGTATGTAAATAACTGAATTTTCTGGTATCACAAAATTAGTCATACTTATTTACTAGCACGTTGTATTGTTCACGTGTTCCCACGAGCTGCCAAAATAGCGACCACGTGCACGAGCACAACACACCTGAAAAAAAAAAGAAAAATATAAACATACAAGTCAGTTTCGCCGAACTCTGACACCAAACATAGAGAATGGTGGTATTCGGTTTACATACTGGACCTTCTAGGATTTCTTCCAGCTCCTAACTCACGTCACGTCAGCTCATACTAAGGACGATAACTCCCACAGTTATAATTACAAGCACCTTGTATGCAAATGAATCTACACCCACATAGGCGACTTCAAGAAACAAATATAATAAACACACCAAAGGGTGGACGGTGGGAGAGTTATTCCTTAGGATAGAGTTTGCCCGCATCACAATATAACCAACTTTGTACATTCTTGGTTCCCATCGGCTGTGAAGCTTATCGCTCCACGAGTGAAACTGAAAAGGTGCGTGGCATGATATCTTATAAGTAATACTACTCACACTTCATAGGCATGCGGGTGTTCTTAATATCGAAGGTACTAACAGAAAACCCATATCCATTCAAACAATCCAAGTAAAAGATAGTATGTAACCAATGCGCCATCCGACCAACCTTGTGATGATAATGAGGATGGTGGCTGTGATGATGATGCAACGGTGTCTATAAGGAAAAGAACTTGATGACGTCAAACATTGCTATATGTGAATAAGTCGCTGTGTGTCTTGTTAAAATCTCGCACAATTTAAGGAAAATTGATAAAATTTAAAAAAAACATACAAACAAAAAAGCTTTAGTGAATTCATCAATTCGTCGTTTAAAATGTGCATCTTTTTGCTCGCATTGCTCGTTTTTAGGCAGTGACTATTTCATATGACCCGTACACTCATGGTTATACATAGGTATCTGTTCTATCCTCCGTAATGGTACGGTACATAACATATCGGACCAAAACAAATTCACATTTGTTCTTACCCGTTGGCATTGTCTGGGCACAATCGATCCCTTATCGTTCTTTAGGCATATCTAACGATCACGAGGATACACTTGATGACCCCGATGACACACTTGATGACCCCGAGGACACACCTGATGACCATGAGTGATGACAACGTGTATCTGTCTCTCAGAAATTGGTTAATGAATTAACTCAAGTCTTACTGCAGTTTAGACACAATAAACTACATGGTAGATGCTGTGTTTTCATGACCTCAAAATCGCTGGGAACGCGATGTTGGAATTGACACTCAAAAGCCAGTGGTAGCTCTGCTATCGTAGTTGTCAAATGCACCAAACGCGTGTTTATTTGAGATTCAGGTTTTTTGTAAAATCGTTTAAAAAGTCTTCATAGTCACAGAACATCATGGTTCATCATCTTTTAGTTGTGTTTTAGTAGTGATCAATATAAAGGGTTTTAGTCATAGTCCATGACGTTTAGACCTCAGGGGACACACTAGAGGGGTATATATGTAATGTTGAACTGTGCTATCCAAATTCATTATGCTTTTCAGCATGAACTCTCTTCGGGAAAATGTTGCAGTTTTAAGGAACGCCTACTAACATTTATTTAAATAAAGACTGAAAAGACAACTAGATATCAAGGACAGATCTTAGTACCATCCTAACATCATCAAACGCCGAGGACATTAAATGTACCAGATCTGTAATTGGATTTCATTTGATGAATATTTTTGGTCTAAAACGCGCGAAGACGTCTACTATGGTACCCTGATATCTTCATATCATGAAATATAATTATACTGAACAAAAAATCACTGGAAAAGGTAGATTGAATAGCAAGTGACAACATAGAATCAGCATATGAAATTATGAAACATTAACAATGATATGGGGTCACTTACGAGTCGTATTATATAAAACAATATCGACGAATACATGTGACCTAAATAAGGTAGATAAAAATGTAGATACCTTTTGGAGAATGTATATTAAGATAAAACAACACCATGAAGAAATAAATTTAATAATGATTAGGTATTTTCACATCTTACATTCTTTATCTGTGGGATACATTTATCTCCCACCATAAACGCACTCACAATCTAATTTGCATTATAATAAACAAATCTTATTCCCGCTGTGTCTGTATACACCCGTACTTACGATGTAGTTACCTAGAGATCTACGTACGTTGTAGATATTGATTTTCTCTTCCCTTTATATCAATAGCAAAATATATTATAATGAATTATCCTTTTGTTGATTACTATCATTATTACATAACCAAACCTTATTTCATTACAAGTAGCTTTCGCATATGAACGTTAATATAACATCGTATCCTGTAATAACATGAGAAATGAAGATTTATTGTATCTACAATGTCCTCCTGCAAACTTTATTAACTTATAGACTGAACAAAAAAATAGAAATCTGCAAAATGGCGGCGTCCAGTGATGGGTGGAATATCCCTATCCTACATACCCATATAGAATAGAGTTTTTTTTCTCTCATTTCTAATCTCATATTATTAAATATTTGCACTCACCTCGCGGTAGCCATCACTGGACGCCGCCATTTTGCAGATTTCTATTTTTTTTTCCTTGGGCCATATACATTTTAAAAAATGCTGAAATAGATTCTCCATCTCCGAATTTTGCAAACTACGTTTGCGGTCGAAAACATAATGTGGACTTTGAATGTAAACATCCAACGTCAGTGTTTAACTGTTCAAGCGGGCTGGGTCAAATACCCTGTCAAATATGTCACCCAGAGACATGCGTACGCGTTCAAATATAGTGCCTTAAAACACGCAATAAAACAACACTTTTCTTTTTAATATGTACTATTGCTCAATTTATAATGTATCATAAACATTTTTTACATCTTTGAACATGTTGGTCAAGTTATTAATACTACTTCACTGTCAATAGTAATCTTACAAATCTTACACATTTATGAATGGAATTCTTGGTTTGCTTGTGAGATGACGTCACTTACGTCACACATTTCGCGCCACACAGACAGGAGGAAACCCATATAGAAAAGAGTCTTATAATCCCACATGACTGCACTCGGTGACCTCGCTCGAGGGACTATTTTTCTTTTGTACAAAGGGAGACAAATCCCGCGATCGTCTGCTCAAAAATCAAAATGGCTGAGAGATTTCAAAACACTAACCTCTTCGCAAAAGAATAATAATTCCCAAACACAACAACACAACAGCATATCCATGTGTTCTGATCCAACTGATGTTACACGGTCCATATACTATGGATCCACAATTAGTGGAGGAAACTTTAACATTCAAATCCACAACCACATTGTAACTGTACGACACAAAGATGTACGTGTTGGTTGATTGATTTTATTCCATGTAAACGTGAAGACTGAAACATACAAAATACAACATTGTTACATTATGAAATTACAGAAAATATGACAAGAAATAGACATTGAACTGAGACTGTACATAGAATTTAACTACATATGTAATGACATACATTATTACAGTTGTTTGTTGATATCTGTTACTATATGACTAGTATAAATACTTGAAAACTTCTGAACAGACCGAAAATATTCCAAAAAATACTGGAAATTACAAGTAAGGCCGACCTCTGCAACTATTAAAGAAGGAAACTTGAAGTTACAACGACTTACAGAGGTGACAATGTACAGGAGTTCTAGTTTATACAGTCCAAGGGAGATAACTCGAATTGTAAAATGAGACATAGGACGGAATCTATATATAACAATACATAAACTATCATGGGTATCTTAACTCTTATTTCTGAGCTTAATTATTATACTTATAGAGCTAAGCAAAACATTGAAATAATTCTATTTTATAGAATTAATTAATAAAATTGCAAACTCATAACCAAAAAATACGGACCAAATTATCACACTACTCTTGGGTGGGACGAAATGGCCAACTCGGACAACCATGTGCTTTTCACTGACTCGATTCGTATAATACAAATATCAGTATAGATACCTAGCGTAACCTGACAATCTGAATAGCTACATGAAATGCCTTATTTTGGCAATGTCTGGACACTTACAATTATGGCTCTTCCACAATTTATGACATTTTTTTTGTAGGCGGCAAACGATGGAACGCCGTCATGGCGGTTCATTAGTAGCGAAAAGAAAGATTTCTATCCAGGGGAGATAAGTCCCCAATAAAAGGGAGATAACTACTCCTGCAACAAAAATTCTAAAAAGATGTAACGGAACACACATGTTTCCCACCACTACCGTGCCACAGGCTCCTGAAATAAATTTGACACGTCGACGGCCTCGCGTTATTTACGACAGCGATAGTGACGAATAATTCTTCGGACCAAACTTCAACTTGTTGTCTCGCTAGTGTGAATATGTCACGCATCTACC